AAAAGTCTTAAGCATTGCATTCATCTGAAGTGATTATAAAGGTGAATTTCAAAATACGGAATTCAAAATTTTTTGTATTGAAAATGACATAGATCGTGATTTCTCTGCACCATAAACTTTCCAATAAAACAAATTAGTGGAACATAAAAATAGATTTGACGTTGCTCAATGAAATCAAATTTCCTAAGTATTTTTGGATTGATGAAGTAAGCATTTCTTCTATGTAATGACTCATTTCTTAATAAAGTCAATTTAAAAAATAACTCCCTTGGGACTTATACAAAGGAAAGAAGTCTAATATTTATCACCTCCATGTTTTTGGATTCGAGTGATTTTTCCTTAATAACGGGAAATATAACCTTGGCAAAATCGATGTTAAAGCTTATGAAGGTCGATTTGATGAACTTGGGACACCTGGTGGTTAAATCGACTATTGATTTCATTGAGATGTTTGCAAAGAAATTTGGAAAATGTCCAGTTTTGTCTCTTCATATTGAATATGCATATATGGTCATCAACGACACTCACCCACTGCTAAAAGAGAAATCAGTTGGACAAATCTTCCATGTTCTGGAAAACTATTGGCTTCCAAAGAAGAATACATCAAACAATTCATCCAATAAAGGGAAAAGAGACATGTTAGTCAGAAGAGAAGATCCCACATGGTCTCCATCATTGAATTAAAGAAATTTGTCGATAATATGTCAATTGATCCCACAAAATAAATACTAGCAATTGAGATCTTGAAAAGGGAAAATGTATCCATGTCATGCCTTGAAACTTGTCAAAGAGAATGACACCAATTTGTTAGAGGGTACAATATAATGTCTTGGGTATTACAAAATATGGCTCTATATATTTGATTATCTTATTATATATAAGCATATTCAAATATCTGAAGGTCATAATATTCCTCTAGTTGAGGAAATCAAAGGCAATAGATATTATAAGGGTCATTACTCATATGGCCACACGACGACTAACTTTATTGCTTTCTGAAGAGATATTTAGAAGGATATTAAGAAAGGTAAGTTTAAGTTGTACTTAATGGTGATGCTACGGATAAAAGTTAATACCAATCATCTTTTAACCATGAGGATATTTGTGGCGTCTTTCTCAAAATATGGTGTTTCAAAACAACTAAGATGAACAAGAAAAAAAATGAAGAAAGTATGTTATGACACTTTATCATTATGTAATCTCTATAACAATTTTCATGTGTTTTTGATGATTTTCGATTAATTATATTTAATTTTTATGAAGGAATAGGAAGAAAGTGAAGAGGTTGAAGAAACAAAGCAAAACCAAGCAATTGTGAAGAAACAATCATTTTCAGCACAATTTAAATCAGGACCTATGTCCAGTAATTTGATCATATATGAAGTTTCCTAACTCGGACTGAGACGAGACATTTTGCAAAAGAAAGCTAAAAAAGAGCTTTAGACCTTAGAATTATCGTGGTCGCGATGAGACCCATTGTAGTCGCGATGTTTTTCGTCATGGTCGCGATGGATAATTTTTGTTCACATGTTTTTGACTTGTTTAAAAGGAAAAGAAAAGGAAATTTATAGGGTTGAAATTCTTGTGACTCAAATTTGATGGTGAAACAATTTTTAAAGCTCTAAATGAAGGTTTTAATCACTGGAAGCCAAACTCAAACCAAGAACTTATGTATTGTTTCTTTATTACTTGTTATGATTCTTATGTGCATGAATAACTAAGTTTTATTGATTGGGGCTTGTTAGGTGAACCTGTATGAATCTGTTGGGACATATGTTTGGGTCTTTGTACTATTTACATCTTTAATTTATTGAGTATCGTTATTCAGCTTAATTTTGTGTTCATTGCTTTAGATGTGTTTACGAATACACATATCGATCTACACTCGTAGTGGTTGCTTACCATAAATTTATGAATCCGAACTAAATAAATCTATTCAACTTAGAAATAAATTAGGGATAATAAATTATAAGTTGTGACTTAGGGTTTAACGCACATAAACATTACATGTTTTAACTAGTCATATGACCTAAGGGATTAGGGAGCATGGTGTAGAATATTGAGTTATACACAAAAAAATTGGGTATAGCAGCTAAGTTAAACCATTGTAATCACTAATAAATCATCTTAGGGGAAACTACATGTCTAAATCAACAATGACATACATGGGATTCAAAATAAGGTCTAATCGTTGCAAATCTGATCAAGTTTTTCACAAATTTTATGTACACTTTTATTTTACCAAATTAAATCTAAAACCTCCAATTTTAATTTCAATAGAATGCAAAACATTTTGTTAAAATAGAACAATCCCTGTGGAGACGAACTCATAAATTTTATTACTTCGATAGGTTTAGTACACATGCTAAATTGTCATCAATATGACATTCTAAAGTTAGATGATATGAATCCTTGTAAGAAGATAAATAGACAAATGAAGCATTTAAGCTCAATGTATTACCTTTATTTTCATTTTGGACATCCTTACTATCACTATCCTTGTGCCTAACAACGCACAATTTGCAGCAATATGCCAATATTTACCACAGTTAAGACAAAACACGTGCAACTCTTCATACTTTACCTTGAAATGCCTACCTTTAATGGAAAACATAGCTAGAAGCGGTTTGGAGAGGTCAACTTGGATGCATAATCGAGCATATTTCCCCCTTTCTCTTGAGAGAGTAGTCTTGTCAACTTAAATGGCTTTCCCTATTCGGTTGCTAATGTAGGTTAGAACTTTTTGGTCGTAGTATTCAATAGGAAGCCTTGATATTCTAACCCACACTACAAGTTTCTTCACAATATCTTTTAAAGGACAGAAGTTTGGGCTCCATTTTCTAATAGTGAGGTAATGGTCATAAATCAACCACGGGCCTTCTAGCAGAGGAGATGCTTGATCGTATGGCTCGTAAAGGTGACAAGTTAAAATTCTTATCCAAGATCAATGATATTGAGAACCCTTATCTTAGTCCACATTTGCTGGAGACGATTCTCTAAAGCCCTATATCCAATACTTTTCCCAAGCATTTTAATGATAACCCCTTTCTCCCATGGCTTCTCGATTCGACGTTCTTCCAATTTAGAGAGAACAAATTCTGGACATTCATAGCCTCCTATCTAGTTTTCTTCCACCCTAATATCTCCATTTTGATCATCCATTTCTTGCATCTCAACATTCTCTTATGAAAAAGACCCACCTTCACAAAGGATTCCTCTGTGACAATGTTCTTTTAAGAAGGCATGTTAGGCATCTAGATCCTCAGTAACTATCTCACTCCTGGGTTCACTAGTAACTATCTCACCATTTGAGGTATCTAGATACTCCATAACCATGTTGTGTGTACATTTTAAAGGCGGAAAATCCTTTTTTTGGGTGATTATATTTGCGAGAGCAAACTCAATTTGGTTTTTTGACATAGGTCACCGGAAAAGAAAGAAAAGACGACGAAGGAACGAGAATCACAATGTTACGCAAGAATTTCGTCTTTCCTAAATGCCCTTACCAATTAGGTTCCTAACCCTAGATTTAGGAGTTTAAACAACAATCAGAGGAAACACATTGGAAGATGACGTCATTACCTGCAGGAAACAAACCGAAACGCTACTCTTGACGAAGTGTGCAAATTTTCCTCATCAAAATCACCCAATTCGCAAGTCATCAGCCTGAAATGTCGGGCACCACGGTGGCGAGACGCGCCTGAACCCTAGCAAAGCTCCAAATTAATCTCACTTATATTCATTGTTTAATATAATTTATAATTTGATTAATATATCTTGATATTAAAAAATAGTCTTAGATGGAAAAAAACTTGGTTAATATAGTTCATAGTTTGATTATTGAGTCTTCTGATAAGATTGGTTAATACACCTCATACTTTGGTAATGAATTTTCGATCATACTTTTTTTTTTAAATAGTAAAATAAAGTTGATTAATTGATCGTAAAGATTGATAAATAAATTTATAATTTAATGTTTGAATGTAATTAATATTATATATTTTATTAGTTAATAAAATAGTAAAAATTGTTAACAAATTATAAATAAAATAAATATTTAATAATATATATATTTTTGTTAATTTAAAAAACATATATTTTTGTGATTAATACAATAATAAAATTGATTATTGACTTACTCTTATAGTCGTGTTTTAAAAAATATATATTGTTCACTAGTATTTAGTATAAGGAGAGGTGTCAACATATCATGATAATATTACGAGGCATGCTATTCTTACAACAAATTTTCTATACACCTTAGCCTACGCTACACAGCAACCATTGTAAAATAAATTATTAAAAAATAAAAGTAATATGTTTTATGTATACACCTACTGTGTAAGTGTTAAAAAATAGATTAAAATATCTTTTCCCTAATATTATTAGTCGAATGTTTCAAAGGAGATCAAATAATCCCACAAGAAACCATCTCAGAAGAAACACATCATCATATACTATAATATCATCTACTTGACAAATGTACTTCTAATACACCAACTTAATTTAAATAAATTAACATTAATATTTTGATATAATCACACCACACAGGCACACTTTTCCCTTCCCACAGCCTATAAAAAACAGACTTTGTGCCCCATTTATGTATAGAAATTAATATCATATATCTAACCATACACCTCCCTAAAAATAGTTAAATTAATGGACCCCTCAAAAATAATACCTTATCTAAAACCACACTCCCTATAATATAACAAAATTAAATTTTTATGCCAATAATAACTTCCACAAATATTCAATCTTCTGTATTCCACTTCTGAATGAAATCAATAATTATCATCCAAAACTCACCGTCCTTTACTTGTTTCTTTCATCCTGAAAGAAAGGAAAATAATAAACCCAAACAAACCTCATCCCTCTAATAATATCAAATATCAATTCAGTATTTAGTTATCACATTCAAAATACTAAAATATACGGAACCGTAGATGTGTACGTTATACGTTACGTATTCATATTTATATACGTTACCAAGTTAATCAAGGATCCCAAAGAGAATCACTCTGTTGCATATCCTCCCATTCATAATTCTCTTCAAAATCATATCCATTGTTCCCAAACAAGTAGCTTTGATCATCCATCATGAAATGGTGTGACATTTGCATCCACGCCGGAGGAGAGTCCATCGGCGAATCATTAATCGCCTGAATTTGACTCGGAGAGAGTCTCACTGTCATTGGCGCCACCATATCAGTAGAACTGACTAAACCTGAACCTGAGTCAATGTCAGTTCTACTGTTATTATCGGATGGCGCCAACATGTTGCCTCTGAGACTCAAAGCAGCCTCATGTGCTGCCATTCGAATATGATCAGCATTGTTACTTAAAGGTTGAGGAAGAGTGTTGGCAAGTTCAGGGAAGTTGAGTCTCGCTTCACGTCCTCGAAAATGCAACGCAGCGACGTCGTATGCAGCTGCTGCCATCTCGGGTGTCTCGAAACTTCCGAGCCAGATTCTTGTTTTGGTTCCCGGCTCGCGAATTTCGGACACCCATTTTCCCCATTTCCTCTTGCGGACTCCTCTGTATGCAGAACTAGCAGCACCAGTTGAAGACATTGTTCATGCAAATTATTATATACTAATGTTAATGTGAAATTTTGTTTGTGATATAGAATGGTATTTATAGATTTGTGATTATGCGTAGCTTCCTCGTAGGTGCATAAAATTTGTGTTTGTATATGCTGCTACATTTTTTTGGTTTATTTTTTTTAGTGTATAGTGAAAATGAAATTCAGCACGGATGAGAATTTTTTAAATATATAATTGAAAGTGAAATTGCAAACATGGTAATTAATGTGGAAGTGACATGTGTGATTGAAGTTTATGGAGAAAACATAAAGAAATGGATTAAGTGACAAGTGAGAGTGCTCTGTTTGAGAACGCGTTTTGTGAACTTAGGTGTCAAGAGCTTTTGAAAATCCACTAATCTAAATTCGTGGAATCTCATATAAGGTTTTGGAAATCTTAGATCAGCAAAGAATGGAGATATTTATATATTTAATTTGTATAATGTTTTATAGTATATAGTATATAGTGTATTATAGGAGATGCAGATACACTGTAAGATTCATGTGTTCTGTGACACTAGATTTTCTTGCAGATGCAAACTTTATAGATGATGTAATGATGTGAGATTGTGAAGTCATTAATAATTTCAAATTATGATTAGTATTTTAGTTGGGTACGTAACTTTAAATTACGATTAATGTGATTTTCTTAACCAGCTTTTGTTGTTGTAGTTTTATATATAAACATGTTTGTTTGGGATTATTTTTTTCCCACCGCAAACAAGACTATCTAACTTTGCAGGTCAATTTTTTGTTGAAGCAACAAGGATTGAAAGCTTGATTGTGTTGTAACTTGTAACAAATGTAAAACCAAAAATTCTAATTCAACTTCAAGGATAATTTGTGTATAAATTTCTTGTGATTATTATCGATTCGTCTCCGTAAAAAAAAAAAAAAGTAAAAATGGGCGCCCTTTATTTTTTATGCATTTTACAGCCGTCTATTAAATATTAAGATAAAAGAGAGTAGTTAGTTTTATTTTTAGTTTGGATTAAATGAATGAATAGATAAAATAAGATCTTTTAGAAACATTTTACATATAAAAACACCTTACATTTTGTATTTTCATAAATACTTTTTAGAGAATAAGTCCATTTTAATTTTTAAGAATCTAATCTGTTCTATGAAATAAATATAAATATTCTTTGAGAAAAAACTTCCTACATGAATCACTATTAAAAGATAGACATCTAATCATTGATAATAATAAAAAAGAGTTAATTTTTTATCACTAAAATTTAGATCTACTTAAGTTACTCTTTACACTTTATGTATTTGAGAATTATGACAATTGAAATTGTCATAATATTTTCATTTAAACTGCTACAATTTTTTCCTAGTGTCTCTCTAGATAATAGTACTATCCAAACAAATCTCTAAGCTAACTAACAATTATGTAATATTGTTTTTGAGAATTGTGGCAGCTGAAACCGACGCAATGTTCACATTTATTAGCATTGTATATGTAGTGTTTGTCTAACTAATACTATTAGGAGAAACCCCTAATTTAATTAATAATTAAGATAAGATTAAGAAAACATCTTTTTGAGAATTGTGCCAATTGAAACCGCCATAATGTTTACATTTAAACGACCACAATTTATAAACTTTTCGATAGTGTTTGTTTAAATACTACTATATGTAAAAATCTTGACCCAATTAATAAACATATTTAAATTGAGAAAACACCATTTTTTAGAATTGTGGCAGGAAACTGCCATAATATGTTCATATTCAAACCACCATAATTTACTAGTTTTTTTTTTTATTGTTAATTTATCAGAGTTTTACTATTTGAACAAATTTTTTATTCGATTATTAATTATGTTTAGACATTATATTTTGAACCTAAATATTTGTCAATTCAGACAAAACCTCTCAACTAAATTAATAATCACGTTTAAATTTAAAAAATTCTTGTTTTTGAAAATTGTGATTGCAAAAACTTAAAAATAATTATATTTAGACCGTCACATTTTACTTTTTCTTATAGTGATTTTTCAAGTTTTACTATCTGAACGAGGCAAAAGAAGATAATTTCTACTTATCTATTAAGCTAAAATCCGAGTCGACTCTATTATCTATTAACAACTTTATTTTAAAAAAGTGTTTATGTGATTTACTAATTTTTTTTAAAGTCTATTTTGTGTTAAAATTTATAAATACAACATCAAACCTACTTCTATAAAGGTTAACACAATTTATACCATGAATTTTATATTAATTTTATTATTATTATTATATTGTAAATTGTTTCTTTATTTGAGAGAAACTGAGAGAGATATTTTAAGTTTAATATTTTAAATAAAATTTTTTTAAAACATGAGTTGGTATGCTCAAAGGCCCGTGTTAAAAGGCTTGACTTATTCACACCTTTATTTGCATTAGAAAGAGTCTCTAATCTAAATAATTGTTTCTTCCATAGATCATTTTTCTTTTATGATCTTTTCTTTGGCGTTCAAACGATTATGAATTGAGTCTGGTTTGAAACCAATTAATACAAAAAAATTGATAGACAGGCCATTTACTTTCGATTGTTGTTAGCATTCGAACAACTGATCCTTTACTTCCCATTGTCAAGGAATTGTCGAGGAAAAACCAAATAAGAATCCTTAAGCTCTTTTCAACACTCCATTTTCAAATATCTTTTTGATATCCTAAGTTTTCCTTGTACAAGTATAGAGTTCGTAGTTTTATGTGTTGTGCAGATAATTGTGGTTTTGATGATGACAAATAGAATTAAGTAAAATTGTCATAAGCATCATCAAGAAATAAAAATATAAAAGTAATACAAAAAAAAAAGCAATAAGGTTTCAATGTTTGGCGCATGGAAAATCTCTAAGAAAAACATTAAAGGAATTGAAGTTTATGCAAGCCCACACGTGATCTCGTGCATTAGTTATTTTTATCTTTTTAGGATCTTTAGTTTATAATAAGTGCAAGTAGATATCGAAGTATTAAAATAATGTACGAGCGTACGCAAATATACATACACACACTTAAATTATTTTACAAACTTCATCTATTTTGAAAATGTTTTTAATATTATTTTTGGCCTCAAGCTAATTTATTAAGTAACGTGTTTATTCAATTAGAAAGCAAAATTTTCTTTCTAATCGATTATGGAGCAAACTTGACCTATAATCAATTAGAAAGTCTGTTAATCAATTAAGATCTGAATATGATTTTTTTCTTTTCTAAAAAGCTAGGTTATAATTGATTATCTCAATATGCTAATATATTAGGGATTGACTCCGACCCAAAATATTTTCATAATTGAAACCTCACTCTTATTCTTACTCACTCTTTCTTTAAAAATATTTTCATTCACTTAAAGTTATTTTTATGTAGATAGAGTGAAATACTTACGTAAGAGTTTGGATTGTGTAACAGTTGTTTGAATTAGATTGTGCTCTAATTGTAAATGAAGAGTATCATCCTCTTGTAACATTGATATTATTAAGGTTTTAAGTTGAACCGGTGTAAAACTTTTGTGTAAGAAGGTTGTGTGATGATCTTATAACAAACTCTCAATTTGATATTGGAACTCTCAAAGGAAAATCTTTAAGGACTTTAGAATTATTTTAATGCAGATAGAGTGAAATACTTAAGTAAGAGTTTGGATTGTGTAACTGTTGTTTGAATCAAATTGTGCTCTAATTGTAAATGAAGAATATTATCTTCTTGTAACATTGATATTATTAAGGTTTCAAGTTGAATCTGTGTAAAAAATTTGTGTAAAAAGATTGTGTGCTGATCTTGTAATAAACTCTCAATTTGATATTGAAACTCTCAAAGGAAAATCCCCAAAAACTATAATAGATCGCATGGTTTAATGTAGAACTCATATTAATTCTAGAGTGAACTTTCCTATCTCTTATATTTTATTTTCCCATTATTTACTATTATGCTCATGAATCTTTGCTTCATTTCTATTCGTAAAATTGACAAAATAAAATCAACAAATTTTTGTAAAATATTTTTAAAAATTGTTTATCACAATTCACGCCTCTCTTATGTTTAAAGTTCCTTGGTCAACGAGAATTCCATATTTCACACACTTAAATATTTCCATAAGACATATCCTTCATAAAATTACTCATTGAACCTCATATAGATGCATGAATAACATACATCAACTAGTAAAATAACCACTTACAATAGTTCTGATTAGTAACTATATATGTAATTGGCTTCCCCAAATGTTACAACTTGTAACTGAAATTGAGTGCTACAACACTTATATGTGAATTTGACTTGTGAGACACTTCAATAATTATCCACATTATATTCATATCGCTCTCTTTGCAAAATGCTCACTTTTATCAAAGATTAATCTAAGTCTAAATAATGCTTTAAAATTTTCATGAGATAGTGACTTGGTGAGTGCATCTACACATTTTTATCTACAAATTCAATCTTCACAATATAAGCCTCATTGAAATCAATCACATTTCTAATTAAGTGTAGTTTCACATAAACAACTAAGAGTTCTTAATAAACAACTACAAGTTGGTTCATGTTTTTCATGTTGTTAGTAAGAGGAGGAATTGGTAGAAGTGACAGTGAGATTGAAGAACACGAATTTTAATGCAAGAACTACGAGTTATGTTTAAAGAATTATGAATTTTAATATAGGTTTATTAAAGACTAACTCTTATCCAATTTTTGTTTGACTTACAATTTATATTTCTAGTTTTTAAAATGCTTTATGATTTTTTTATATAGTTTTTAATGAATTAGTTTAATTTACTAATAAACACTCTAGCTAAGTACGAGGATGTTGTTTTTATGTCTTTATTTAAAATAGTTTTGAAAGTTTATTTGGTAATAATATGATAAAACAATAGAGAACATGGTTACAAATTAAGAGTAGTTTTAGGTTTGGGAAATGCATTGTAAACACCTTGGGTATATATAAATCAATATTTCTCTATTGAATCATAGAGTGATTCATCGTGGGTTAAGTAAATGAGAGAAATTAAGGAT